TATTAAATATATATATATATTTAATTCTGGTTAGTCTCTAAATTGTTAACTTAGGTACAAATTAATTTCCTATTTCTTAGCCTTTAATATGCAACAAAATGATAAGCTATTTCCACACAAGTATTCAAGAAAACGATCTTATTTAAAATGAGACTGAATTACAAATAATTATATATATGCAATTTTGTATATAATTACAAGACTGTATATATACTTCAAAACATACATTTTTCATGTTCTGTAAAATTATTCAACTCTGTAAATTATTAGAGAAACCACTGAATCATACACTTAAAATGGGTAAACTTTACGGTATATAGATTACATCTCACGAAACGGTTCTTAAAAACACACATATTTTTATATTCTTCGAAACATGCAAACACACCAGACAGACTGTCTTAAAATTGAATGGAAATAAGTCCAGCCAAACATTTTTCATACAATGCGTTTGTAGTAGTCATGTTAGAAATAAAAACACATCCCCAAAAAACCACTGAGAAAAATTATTTTATTAGACTGAATATTTCCACTACATTTCAATGTGATTAAAAATTCTCCCCCAAATGATAGGCCCGTCCACATTTCAACGCTTTGTTAGTCATCCAGATTAATGGTGAACTAATGCCGTCGGTACACTGGTGATGCGTTCCTTAGTATATTTTAGTTGTGAGAAGATGGATCTGCTTGTACCCTACCATGGAAATATGATTTTGTGCTTCTTTGACATGTCTCAGACCAGGTGTATCTAAAATCAGACTTGGTCTACCTTTCATCTGTTTTTGGTCCTGGGTATATTTTACCTGCAAAGTAAGTAGTAGAACATACTTAACAATAAGACAATTATAATAAAAAGATTACATAACTTTTTCAACCTTTCCAAATGAGTGAGACATAATACAATATATTTTGAATTATTTACCAGGTAACTTGTTCGGTGCATTACATTTCCTTCTAGAACAACAATCTAAAATTTTACTCTCAAAGGTTTCCTTTAAAGACTGTAGCAAAAATGACCAAATTCTCTCCGTCAACTAAAACAAATGTGTGAATAAAGAATATCTACTAACAATGCAGTCAGTAAAAGTGGTAATCATACTTAAACAAGGAAAATCTAAAACTAAATGGAACCTAAATTTACTTTAATGTTCCTATATTTCCCCATCTTCCGCCATAACACTGTTGGAAAATTCATACCAATCTTCCCTCCATTTCCTTTGATTTCTCCTCTCTGTAGAATGTAAGGAACAATGAGGAATAAATTGAGTTTCTTTCAAAACAGCCACAATTTAAAGGTAATTCATGTTGAAATCAGTCAGTGTCTCTGGACTGGAACTCCACTGGAGAGCAACAAATCTTAGGCTAAAAGCTGATTCCCAGGCCCAGAGCTCTTCTCAACAACTGACCATCTGAACACTGCTATTTGTGAAGCTGAGTATGTGTAAGATTAGACTACCAATTATTGCAAACCTGAGGGCTTATGTGCAATTCAGAACTAAAGCCCTGACATTCAGTAAAAGAAAGCATACTATCCAAATAAGACATTGATACGCACCAGGGGAACTTAATGAATAACTGATTTCTATATTAAATGTATATACATTTCTTCCCTCTAGGATCTTACTTTGGAGTAATGACTCGTTTCTTATTTTGTTTTGCAGAGAGTATGTAACAATCTACATTCAATGGAATACATCTGTAAAATGATAATTATTTGATTTATGCATCAGAAACTTTACCACTTTCAAGGACACTGGTTAAAAAACACAAATCACTGTTTAAGTGAACATAATATAGTTTAAAACTAAACTTTAAATGTCATTATTGGTCACATCTGGAAGTATCAATGAAGGATTGCAAGAAAATGTAAATGTATACAGTGGCAGCTTCTGGAAGTCATCTGGAACAACATATGTACTTATTGCAAACGTCCCAAATGTTTCTTGGAAATAGATCTTTGTTTTCACAGGAAAAAACAGGATTGTAAGTAAATAATAAATGATACATCCTTTGTGATCGTCCAAAATGAATAAAACCACTTGCCGAACTAATATTTTCTTGATTCTTCTTTACTCTTTCCATTTCGGGAGTTACGCTTAAAGCAGTAGCTCTTCCCAGCTGACCTTTATAATAAACCTATCATTTCAGAGAACAAAAAATAGAATACTGTGAATCAATTCAACTAAATAAGAGTCTCGTAGTATTTATTTTAAAGAGCTAGCCAAGGAAAGGAAACTATGAAAAAGATGTCATCAGAAGTCCAGTCATATTTTAAATACTCGCACCTTAAATCAATCTATTTTAATTCATCCCAAAGCAGTGAATGTACTCAAATATATCAGCATATCATCAGTAAAGCTATAATAACCATCACAAAGGAATATAATAAAAAATGGCTTCATGGATATTACTTAAAGGTACTCTACCCATATAGAATGGTACTATAATGTTGTGGTTTCTTGGTAATTAATTGTGGTAGAACTTTTGAAGGTATGTTTTTAAATAGATGACCGTGGTCACGCATGAAAAGGCCAGTGTGCTTCCTACTCCTTCCTTCTTCCTTCTCAATAATAGCGTTCCTTTTTGAGAGTAACAGAGTCACGTCAAGTGTGATTCTAAATATATGAGGAAAAGATGAATATTTACTTCTCCAAAATATAGTTGTTAGGAAAAGTGCCAAATAAAACCTGCCATAGCTTTGTAATCTGGTCAAATGACTTGAAAGGTTTGAAGAATACAAGGTTTCTTTGAACCTAATAGATTTCCAAATTTCCTCTTCTAAAGAACCCCATCTATATGTTAATGACTTCAGAAGAGAATTCTCTCAGTGAAGTCCGATGGAGGATTATATAAACTGAAAGGAGTAGAGCAGGCCGGGAGTTAGTGTCCGAGTAAAAACTGACAGCCCTAATCAAGTGCCCCTAAAAAAAAACGGGCCTGTCCCATGTGACCTGTTTAGCTATGCACACTTTGTAATTTCTCCCCAGACATCATCCAAAAATAAAATAATAACAGCTGGGAGTGGGCTGGACAGGCTACAGAACAAAAACACACACAGGTAGGGTCCTGATGCCAGGAGCTGCCACTGCGTCCCTTTGAGGAACCACAGCAGCCATGAACATGAACACAGCATAAGAGGGATACACAATAAACTGCAAACAAAGATTATATGGGCATAGC